GAGTGGGCTTTAGGTCTAACTTAGGTAACTGTTGATTAGCCCCAAGATAAAAGTGCCACTACTGCCCCAATGTAGTTTGCTGTGCTGGTCATTGTTGTGGTTATTAGGACTTAAAGCTGGGGTTTGACCATGACTGATGTTCTCTCTTAGCAGCTTGCATAATGTTCCCCAAAACTCTGAGAGCTAGCTTCAGAGAGGAGGCTTCCAGGTCAGCTCCAGTTCCATTGCTTCAAGTCCTATGACTGAAGTACAGCAAATCTGTTTTGAGGGGCTACATGATGCCAAGGGACTACAGGAGAATCTAAGACTACAGTGATGAATAAGCTCTTCACTGAACTCTTAGAGTACATGGGGCATGTGGGTGTTTACACAGGAGACAGACTCTACATGCGTTTTTTTCTTTAAAAAATTGTTTTTGATTTATTTATTTTTACTTCCTGTGTATGAGTGTTTTGCCTGTATGTATGTGTACCATGTGCATGCATTGTCTACAGAGATCAGAAGAGGGCATTGGATCCCCTGGAATTGGAGTTATGGATGGTTGTTAGCTGCCATGTGGGTGCTGGGAACTGAACCCAGCTTCTCTGCCAGAGCAGCCTGTGCTCCTGGTTGCTGAACCATCTCTCCAGCCCTGTCTATTTGCTACTTTCACATTCTGAATTTAGTTTCATTTGCAACACTTAACCTACTCTCCCTCTCATCCACGTCCTCACTCCCCTTTCCTGACCAGATTCCCCTCTATGATAGTGTAAAAATTGAGGCCTTTCCAGTTTCTCAGGTTGTTCAGATTTTTGTTTGTTTGTTTGCATAGTATAGTATAAGTCAAAGCTTCAAAGGAGAAATTACATCTACCCCTGCTATGTTCTAGGATGTCTAGCATGTGTTGTCTAGTAACATTAGGCAGTCAGAGGAAGCACAGAGGCCTGTGCCATTGCTCTTCAGTTGAACTGCAAGGGTGGTTTGCAGCATATCCTGCTGTTGAAGGAAATTTAATCCTTGACATTTTTATTCATTAGCTAGTAAAATATGAATTTAAGATTGGTTTGAATTAGGTATATAGTGTTTTCTTAAAAACAAGAATTGGTATGTCTGAGATATTTACTAGACATGCTAAAATATATGTGCTTTTTATCAGATTGTTTTTAAACCATATGTCTAGCCTATCATCTGGCATGTTCTAGATTTTTGTTGAGTCTTAATTACTATAAATATATGACACAAGGCCCCTGCTCCAAAGGAGTCCTTAGAGGATTTAGAGCCATATTTTCCAAATACTGTTCTTTGTATCATTTCCCCCTCTGCTCTGGAAGGCTGCACTGGAATTCCGATTTCATGCTAAGTGTCCCTTCCTTGAAGAACCCATTTGTTCATTTTTGTACAGCTTACTCTTTAAACCTCACAGAGTAAACACTGCTGCAGGAATCTCCCTATTACATCCCTTGTTTTCCATTTACCTATCAGTATTTTATCAAAAAAAATTAAAAACTGCCAGGTGTGGTGACACAGCTTTTGTTCCAGCTCTTAGGAGGCAGAGTCAGGTGATTTCTGGGAGTTTAAGGCCAGGCTGGCCTACATGGGGAATGACCCTGTCTTTTAAAAATTGAAATTGGGGAACCTTAGACACAAAGTAGCTAAGCCTTATAGTTTGTATGAAAGTAGGACAGTAGCTTTATCGTCATCATCATTAGTTTTTATTGTGCACGAAGTACTCTTTTTTTAGGAGCATGCTCTGTCCATGCATATGGTGATTGTGTTGTACTTTGAATATATGTTAATCAAAACATTTTTAATGGGCTGGGGCTATAGCTCAGTGATAGTGTCCTTCCATAGCATTCCAGAGGCCCTGGGTTTGATTCCCAGCTCACCTAAAACATTACTTTAAGAAGTTCACCCATCTGTTTCTATGCTAGATCTCTATATATCACAAATACAGGGAGCACCTGTTTTTTATGAAGATGTCTATAATACCTAGACTAGTATTTTGTTTTGTTTTGTTTTTTAAATCTTTTTGAGACAGGGTCTCCCTGTGGTCCCAGCTGGCTTGGAACTCACTATGTAGACCCGGCTGGCTTCAGTCTCACAGAGATCCACCAGCCTCTGCCTCTTGAGTGCAGGAACTAAGAGTGCGTACCGCCATTCCCTGCCGTAGTTTTATTCTTAAAAATTTTTTTTTTTTAATTTTTAAAATTTGTTTTTGATATTTTATTTATTATTTTTATTTTATGTGTATGAGTGTTATGCCTGCATGTATGTAAGTGCACCCATGTCGGGCAGTGCCCACGGAGGACAGAACAGGCTGGCAGATCCCCTGGAACTGGAGTTATGGACAGTTGTTAGCTGCCATGTGGGTGCTGGGATTTGAACCTAGGTCTTCTGCAAGAACAGTCGGTGTTCCTAACTGCTGAGCCATCTCTCCAGCCCCTATTTTTAAATTTTTCATTTGATGTGTATGAGTTTGCTTGCATGTATGTATAAGTACTACATACATACCTGGTGCTGCAGAGGCCAGAAGAGGGCATGGGATCCTCTGGAACTGGAGTTACATATGGCTATGAACTGCCATGCAGGTATTAGAAACTTCTGGGTCCTCTGTAAGATCAGTAAGTGCTCTTAATTACCAACCACCTCTCCAGCTCCTAGTGATTGTTTTTGAATAAGTAATGCTATCAGTGACTTAGCCTTCACAGCATTCTCCTCCATCACCTGGACATGGCAGAACAGCTTCCACGGGTAAATGCCATCTAGACGAAGGTACAGTTGCACAATTCCCCGACTATACCTTTAACACCTTCCCAGGAGTGTTTGTATTCCCTTACCTTTAAGCCTGGCTCACAGGTGGCATTCTTGCCCGTGCTCTCCGTCTGTGCTCTTCTACTTGTGCTGTCCAATGCAATTGCTCCTGAAGATCAGAGTTAAGCTGGTGTTCGCCCCTTGACTCCTTTCCGCCTTAGACCTACTTCCATTGACCAATAGGAGAAAATAATTGACAGTTTATGGTTCTAAAAATAAAGGCGGGCGTTTTGTAGGTATTATTTCTCTTAAAAAAAAAACAATGAAAGTATTGCGAATAAGCCAACTACTGTGAAACCACCTACCATGAAGTTTATGATAAGAAATTACCTTTTTCTCCTCATAATAAGCAAAGTTTTAAGTCCGCAGAGCCTTTGTTACAGCTTCAAATTTGGAAAAATTGTACACAGCTTCATGGCAAGCAGTCAAGACTCCCAAGAAACTTTTTACCTTGTGAATTGTTCATTAATTTGACAAAAATGAATGATGAAAACCTGCCATTTATATTAGTACATTGACTAGAATGCCGTGCATGTCAGTACCCTGGTGTGTTCATATAATAGAGTTTAAGTCAGCAGGTTTTGAATTAGTGGCTCGCTTACTGGTTATGGAAATCCCTTTTCTTCACTGTAACCGTGGTTCTGTAGTTTGGTGTGAGACATTTAGGCGGAGGGTCAGATGAAAGTGCATCTTTTTCTGGTGTTCCTTGTGCCTCATCTGTTTTGATGAGGCTTCTGTTGGTAGCACCAAGCCATGTGCCTGGTAAATCATGAATCTTGTCCAGAAGTTAAACTGCCTGCTAGAGAACTTTAGCAGAACCCAACTGGCCTCATGCATTCATGCACTGTAGAATCCTCTTGTTTACTTGGAGTTGTTTATACAATATGTTTTAAGAAATATCTTTATACCAGGCGTGGTGGCACACGCCTTTAGTCCCAGCACTTGGAAGGCAGAGGCAGGTGGATCTCTGTGAGTTCGAGGCCAGCCTGGGCTACAAAGTGAGTTCCAGGCCAGCTAGGGCTACAGGGAGACCCTGTCTCAAAAAGACCAAAAAAAAAGAAAGAAAGAGAAAGGAAGTCAAGAAATGTCTTTACTTGGAGTACGGGGGTTGCGGGGGCTTAGACAGGACTGGGAGGATGGAAATAATGCAAATACAGTACCTATATATGAAATTTTCAAAAAATAATTTAAAAATACAGAAAGAAGCATCTTTATAAACAGCAGCTCTTGTTAAGATTTTTTTTTCTAAGTGTTAATAAAATTGTGAAAGGAGGGCCTTTTAAAATCAGATCTTTGCAGTAATGTGGAAAAGTAATGAAATTTCAAATCTAAAAATGTGGAGATTATCTTTTGTCCTGTACGTATTTATTCCTTGTGGTCCTTTTATCCTAAAGTATATAATTATTCAAATACAGTACTATAGTTTTATTTATTTAGAAAAACTTTAGCTTTTAAAAGCAATAGCTGTTGTGCTTAAATACTGTATTCATGATTTTTATATGACAGCTACATTTTGAACTAATTTTATATGTAATTTGGAAGCATGACGGTTGGGGTCAGGAGGAGAGGGGGAGTAAGCATCAAAAGGAAATTCTGACAGGTAATACATATTATAATATAAAAATTGTGAATGGCATGTGGCTGCCTCTGGGTTCTGAAACCTTGTTGTCTCTGTCTTCAAAGAGAGTCAATTCCTGTTCCTGTGCTGCATGTTTGTTAGCAAAGCAGTTAACCAGCATGACAGTTAGTTGTGTGTTTCCTTTCCCATTAGGTTTACACAACATACGTAAATCTTTTGGCATGGTTTTCTCATGTCTTCCCAGCTTAGAGTGACTGCCGTGTATATCCTCAGTCATAGAGGAGATGGAACTGTCTGTTGCACTCTAGCACAGAAAAGCCCAGTCATTCTTCATGGTCCTCTGAAATACCGGGAATTGCTTATGTATAACTGTGATGTCCAAACTAGATGTACACTTTGGGAAGTTCAAAGGACATGCATTTCAGTAGCTGAGCAGAATTGCAAAGAAGAATGTTGATTGGGTCTCTGTTCCTTTTCTGTGTGAACATTCTGCTGATTCTTTTGTGACATGCTTAAATTTATGTGCTGTTTTTTCTTTCTACTTCGGTGTGCCCTTCTCCTGTCAGTCATTAAACACGTTTTCATTTTGTTTCTCTCTCTCCATCTTATTTATGTTGTACGGAATTGACAGCATATTGTCAGGGCAGAAATAGTCAAGTACCCGGAAGAGGATAACCAGCACACCAGCTCCTCTCAGAGTAGAGTCTGTTCAGTGCAGTAGTGAAGGTATCAATGGATGAACGATTGCAATTTGGGGAGGAGGGTGGAAGGACAAGCGAATGTTATCTTGTTCTTTATTTTATGAAGGAATAAAGGGAAATTATTGTACATTTTATAAATTAATATTACATAAGTCTTGCTCTAGAACATTGAGGAATTGGTCCTGTGCCAGGAGACTTACAAATTAAGCAGGAAATTAAAATGACATTTCAGTTACTTTCAAACCTATTTGTCTTTATGGGTGTGTTTATGGCACATGCAGAGAGGTGGAGACTTGAGACCATTATTTCATTATTCACTCTATGTTTTCTTTCTGAAGTAGCTGGGAATTGAAAGAGTATTTTAAAAACCTGCTTGAATTGCCCTTCTTTGTCTGCATTTCTACAAAGACTCAGTAGGTGTGGAAAATAATAAATGATTTGTTTTATTTTCAACTATTGCTTCAAGATGAATATTAGGGAATTTTACTAAACTCATTGTTTTAGACTTAAGTATGGGAGGGAAGGACAGCAGAGGAAACGTACCTTTTGGTTTAAGTTGTCTGAAGGGCATGATAGGAGGCAATTTTCCAAACTCCTTGTGTGTCATACTCTACTCAAGTCATTATTCATGGCAATAGTGAGCTCCTTGGAAATGGGAGATTCGAGGGAAGCTTTGAAAACTAGAAGTGTTTTAAGAATTGGGTTGCTGAGGATGCCTCTGCTTCATATGTGAGTCCTTTGAGAACATAGCTTTTGCCTCTGATTTGCACACTGCTCTAGACAGAAAATCTAAGAAAAGGTGTAACTGATTAAAATAGCTCATGAAAATATGAAAGAAAAGAGAAAATCTTAGAAATGATGAGGTCTTACCTATGGAGTAAAATATGCACGAGTAATTGACTTTTGACTTTTACCTAAATTATAATCAAGGTTTACATTTTCATATTGACGTGCCAATTTTTAAGAGTTGTGATATTTCAATTAACATGTTATAAAACCAAGTATGACTCAATAACTTAGTTGCCTCATTTAACAAAAAAGAAAGGTCAACAAGAAAAGCCCAAACCCAACTCTAAGTTCTGGTTTATTTTTCTTAACATCAACTCTGGTTTCATTTATGATGTTCATTATCAGAAGTTCACTAAAGTTCAGAAAATAAAAATATACTCTCAGGAGCATTTTCTGGTGTCCTGATAATAACTCTTTTCTTTTATGGCAGAGGGTGGTGAAGGCAGATATTGTAAACTACAACCAGGAGCCCATGTCAAGAACTGTCAACCCGCCCAGAAGCTCGATGTGTGCAGTTCAGTGAGCGCGTTTGGGTAGTCCTGGTGCCCTCCCCTCCAGTGGGTCCAGGCTGTCTAGGAACCTGTTTTATCAGTGACCATCTCAGTAGTTGAGTTCATGTGCTCCTCCCCTCCCTTCCGCTCCTTCATCATCGAGTTGCCTCACAGCAGCTGCAGGAGGCAGGCAGCTCCATAGACTGGACGGAATTCAGCTTCAGGACCACACACTTGGCAATCAGGGTGGAGAGCCCATCCTCTGGCTTGAGACTGCCTGTCTGCAGAAGAGCGATGGTGGTTGGATCTTTGTACCCTCACTTCTTTTTTCTCAGATATGAAAACGTTTAACCAGGCATGAATACTCTCGAAGTCTTTGCTGGACAGCCAGGATTTTGTCACAAGGTTTCATCCTCCTACAGGAAAGTGTGCTTCAGAGCACTAAGGTTGAAACGAGTGATACATTTTACCTACAGTGACTCAGGCATTCCTTTGCTGTCTGTTAGGAGTGCGACTATATAAAGCTGTACCTAGATGCAAATGCTCGAAATGAGGCTGTGACAGATATTTTCTCATTTTTAAAAAGGGTCTAATTTGTTTATATCATAGTTTATAGCTCACTACATAGTGAGGCTTTGATACTATTTTGTTACTGTATCGTGGTCATACATGCTTGATCATGCTCAGCTTAGATGGCTATGAATTTTGACGAATAATGGTTCAGCTGACGTTTCATGTGGGATTCCTCCGATGGACCGTGTACGAGCATGTCCAGAACGAGTTGTGACACCCTGTTGGATCATTGTGGATCATGCTATACCTGATGTTCAGATGTTTTTCTGTCATAAATAAATTTATTTAAATTATATATTTTTTGGAGTTTTCATTCAGCTATCCTCCTTTTATAGAAAAACAAAGTATATTTAAGCATATTTGAATACATGCGCAGCAAACAGTTGCTTCGAGTTCCTAGGTCGTTTTGTTGGACCCTTTCCAGTCCAGATTCCATAGCCCAGTATTTGGGGGACCCCACTAGCTGCAGCCCATTTTTCTACCTGGCTCATGTACCTCTGTGTGTACAGAACTGTGGGTTCATCCCTGTTGTTGGGGTTACTCTGCCTTTCTGTCCCTCCCCCATGGCCCCTTCTGCCAGGAATGCCCCTTCCCTCTGTCTGTTCCTCCCTCCTGCCCTTCCCCCTTTCTTCCTCTCTTTGCTCTCTGCCTCCTGCTCTGTCTTCATCATAATGGTGCTATGTTTTGTGTAAGGCCCAGAGCATAAATTTGCTGCAGCCATTTCCTCCTCCCCATAGCTGAGTCTCACGTCAGAACCCCGGGTGTGTGGGGGGGTGTTCCTCCCTACCCCTTGTCCTGCAACACAGCACACATTTTGTGCCCCGGTGGGGTGGGTCTTTTCTTGTTTTATAAGCCATGAGAGCGTTCAACCAAAGGGCAGCTTTGAGTATTTTCTCTTATGCCCCAAGCAAGTTTCCTGTCTCAGGAGATTTGCTACAAGTGTATGCAGACATTTTGGATGCCTAAATTTAGAGCTGTTGGAGATTTTTAGAAAGTTCATATCCTGTGTGTCTAAGGAAACTGAATTGAGGAAAGAAAAAGCATCTTCTCAGAGATCCCGGAACCTGAGAGCTGAACCTGATGGCACATCTGAGTAGGTCAAGGAATTAAAAACTTAAATGTAAAAAAAAACCCTGAAAATTGTGACTGTTCAATAGGTAGTAGGGCTTAATTTAACTTTGTTTTGATTTCTATAGTTTTTTGGTAAATTTTTGCGTATTTCATACAGAACATCTTAATCATCTTTATACTCCCTTCCCCACTGGCACCCTCCCATAGCCCCCCACCCCACTGGAATTCATACGTTCTGTCATTTGTGTTAAGGCCTATCGTGTCAATTATTAGTGTCCCCAGCCATCCCCCAGTGCAAGTTCATCCACTGGGTCCAGTCAGCCTGTCCAAAGTCCCTCCCTTTAAGAAGATCACCTGTTCCTCACCCACCAGTAATCAGCTGCCCATAATTCTTCGACTAAGATTGGGGCCTCTTGCCCATTTCCACTGTTCTGTGCTGGGGTTTTGTCTGCTTGAGTTTGCAGGAGTCTTGTGCGTTGCTGTAGGTTCATATGAGCAAAGTCCCAGGAACCTGCAGGGCTCTGTGGGGAAAATGAAACTAAAGGGGGAGGGCATGAAGGGAGGGTTAGACAGGGAGAGAGAGGAGAGAGAAATGATGCCTAGCTAGTGTAACCAGAGGGATTTCTATAGTTTTTATTTTATGGTAATTTAGCACCCTTTTACAGTTTTCAAGGTGATCACCCTACTGGTTCAGCTTACCCTTCCCATCTCGTCAGAGCATTTAGGAGAAAGTAAAGTTGACTAAGATCTGAACCCTTGAGGACCTTCTGGGTTCCTAGGAGATGTTTGTTGTTGCTTCTGTTTGAAATGCTGTGCTTGAGGGAAGCCCAAGGCTTTGCATTTAAAGGCAGGGCCATTTTCTTTTCAGCCGTGTTGTTTCTATATCTGTATGGAAACTTGAAGACATTCAGAAGTTTATAACTTCACACAGGCTACAACGGTACAAGCTGAGTGCTGTGGCCATCCAGAGGCAAAAAACAGGTCTTTGGTGACAGCGAAATCCTTTAGCTGGTGTTTATAAAGTTAGAACTGACTGGGAATGAACAGGGTCAGAGGACAGAATGATCTTTCTAGGCTTGTTCTGTCATGGGCAGTTCTAGAAACTTACCACTCAACTGTTTTATTTTTACACCAATCTGTGAGAGAAGAATCACTGTCCCCTCTCGTGGAGGAAACTGGAGCCAGAAGTGATTATCCTTGGGTAAATGGTTGAGCCAAGAGCCACATAAAACACTTCTGATTTAGAAACGGAATTGGCTGGTGCTGATGTTCGTTTGGTTGCTTTACGTTTCTGTCACTCAGCTGACATCTTTCCTGGGAACGAACAGGGCTGAGAAGGAGTGATTGAGTTGTGAGGCTGCATCTCCCCTTTCAGTACCTGCCACCTTGACCAGCAGCACACGTGTGAAGTTGCTGGTAGTGGTATTTTGCCTCCTGACCGTGGAGGTGAAGGTAAATGAGCCACCTACCACCTCTGTCTTCAGTTCCTCTGGTTCCGTATTTTTCAGCTATATGTGAGCAGTAATTCTTGGTGTAAGAGAAGCAAACAACTTGTGGGACAGCATAAAGAAAGCAGGTCTCTGAACTCTGCTAGTTTTCCCCATACCTCAAGCTTTAGTTTTGGGATGAAAAAAATGTAGAATTTATGCTCGTTTTATTTGGACTGTTACTCTCCTGTCCACAGTTTTTAATTAAAAAATTACAAGTCTTTCCACCTAGTTTTAGGCACTTTGTTTCCTGGAGACACATGCAATAAGGTTTCAAACACTGGCCCCTCCTCCTGCTTATTGAGCTTTGAAAAAAACAACGGTCTTCAGGCAGAACTGGTCATTGGATGCTGTCTCTCGAGTGCACCCTCTGTTATATGTAGCAAACCACTCTGAGGTGGTTTCTGGAGTGGCCTGAAGAGCTCCTGTGACACTCTATGATTCTAGGAGGTAAGCCATGGCCTTTGAAGTTGATCACTGAACAGTGTGATAGAACATGATGATTTGTGACGTTTAAGAATAGGAATGACCTGTGCTGCTGTTGGCTGTAATGGATGTCCTAAACAGTTGCAACATTCACTGTAAAGAGAAATGTGGATCTGCTAAGCATTATGGTAAATATCTGTCCATCACCTCCCAGCAGTGATGTCCGTTCTTCCGTTCCTGGTAGGGTCCCCCATTTCCTCATTCTGGGAGTGAATCCTTATTTGTTGAAGTAATTAGGATGTAAACTCCGTATGTATCAGTGGTTGGCTGACAGAGGAGCTGGTGAATCCATCAGAGCTAGGGGAACAAGGGAAAGTTTGTTGAGCTTTCTGAATAGAAGTTTTCAGAAGACGCTTTATCCACTAGAGTAGGATGAGAAGAGATGTAGCTCTGAGGAATCGTGGCAGCCATCTTGAGGCCACCACGGAAAAGCCTGCACTAGGGGAGAAGTGGGGCTTCATGGAAGAAAGATGGGAGGGTCCTTACCCTGACGTTATTTGGAGCCCTGGATGAGGCTGCACCTTGAGCTGTCAGTGTTTGTCAGTTTCCCTTTATCATTTATGCTACTCTTCAGTTTTTATTTCTTCTTACATAAGCACCCAGTATGCCCCAGGGACTTTGCTTGGCATCTCAGACAGAGATCAAGCTGGATCTGTATTTTGCCTTTCAGATCTAGCCATATGCATAATTCATTCAAATGTAAATCCACTGTCATGATAAATGTCACTTAGGGAGAAGTGTGGTTAAAAATGGGTTTTAGATAGGATCAAATAGAACTAACAGCATAGCACCATTACCATCAAAAAACTCATGTAATCTTAAGCTACATTCACTAGGATCTCTGTTCTCCTCTGAGCATCTGAGGGATTTGCATTCAGGGTTGAGGTAGTCTGCATTTCTCTCAGGTTCTCAAGGGTGTTAACGCTGCCGGCCTTTAGACTGTACTCTGATTGGGAACAGATTGGATCATGCCTGCAGTTTTCAACCTTATGGGGGCTCCTCTTTTAAGGGGATCACAGCACATTCTAAGTATGGTGAGCAGATTCAATGTCATATGGAACAGTTGAAGGAAGACAGTATGCTTAATGTGGAAGACCTGGGAGAGAGTGCCATGGTAATGGTGCTCAGATCAGAACATGCTCTGGAGGACTGCTCTATTCCCAGAAATAGGGAGGTCAGGAAGAAGCAGAGGAGATCCAGGTGGCCTAGAAAAGAATCCTCCTGTTTACTTCCCAAAGATGTAGGGTGTATGTTGAAAACTCCTGCCTTCAAGGGCTTCACAGATAATCAAATGAATGGAGAACAGTGAAGAGTGCAGGGCAGTGAGGAGAGGCGGTGACAGGTGATAACTAGAGGTCCTTCGGTCCTGTTTTTAAGGTTCTTTTGGCCAACAAAAACCTGTGTGGATAAGGCCACTCCTGGTCCATATGGAAAACCGTCAAGTAATGTAAAGTAAGTATTGCTTTCTTATGTCTCTTTACTTCCATACTTAGAGAATGTCCTTAATATTCTGTTGGAACGAGGCATTTCACTATCCTGGGGAACGAGCGAAGAGTCTGGAGCATGTGCTGTGAATGGGGCCTAGTGCGTGGCCTGAACCAGCTCTCTGCAGACCAGGCTGCAGCCCTGTGATTATTAGCTTCAGTCTGCGTGTAAAGCTGATGAAATTAGAGAATTTTTTTTTCCTGTCAAACTTTGTCAGAAGGCAAAATCATACTGCTCAGGCTAGGGCTGGGGACATGGGACACACAGACCAAGCATCTGCTTCCAGGTACTCCTGGGCTGAAATAGGAAGCAGATGGGCTAGCCTCATGGCATCCTGGGTATCAGGAGACTCCACCCATGGGCATTCTGGAACACAGGTCATGTGTAGCATGCCATTTCTTCCTGAATGGTGGTGACCAGGCTAAGGAGTGATGAACAGATGAGGTGAGGGAAGCGAAGCTTGAACTGA